TAAAAGCATCAGGAAAGTACCGAGGGGAAAGAGATTTCCCTGACGGAAGAGGGGAACTCTACTGGAATTTTTTTTTTTTTGGTTGGTCATGGGGCTTAAACTTTGGGCCTGGGCTCTGTCCCTCAGTTCTTCAGCTCAAAGCTAGTGCTCTACCACTTGAGCCACAGTGCTGCTTCCATTTTTCTGGTGGTTTATTGGAGATAACAGTCTCATGGGCTTTCCTGCCTGGGCTGGCTTTGAACCGCAATCCTCAGATCTCAGCCTCCTGAGTAGCTAGGATTACAGGCATGAGCCACCAGCATCCGGCTTCTCGTGGATTTTTCTAAACCCACTGTAACTCTCTCCCCTCCAGGAACTTGGAATAAAGATGAAATTAATTTCTAAGTAATCCAAGGAGACACATAGGACAGAGATATACCATGGGAAGAGAAAGTAAGGTATAAGGAAGGAGGGAGAATAAGACAGAAAATGAGAGCCATGGATACCATGGCTGGTCTTCATCTCAGAGTATTGATGTTCTGTGACTGGGTTATAGGTTACAGTTCAGAATCGGTCACCTGGATGTATGTTTACCTAACCACTACTCAGTTATCCTGTTCTGATACTATCATTTAGACCCACAGGCTTTGATTGGTCTCATAATAGGTCTCTTGACATGGGTCTGTTCTTTATGGTCCTCTTATGGGTATTCTCCCAGGTCACAGATTTACAAAAAAAACAAGTAGTTTTAATTCCTGACCAAATAACTCATCTAAGGCCACTGCACCTTATTTAACATCCTTAAAAGCTCAATGGGAGAAGGCCAGGCACTGGTGGCTCATGCCTATAATCTAGGTGGCTGAGATATGATGATCACAGTTCAAAACCAGCCTGGGAAGAAAAGTCCATGAGGCTCTTATTTCCAATTAACTACCAAAAAGCTGGAAGTGGATCTGTGGCTCAAATAGTAGAGTGTTAGCCTTGGGCCCAAAAGCTGGACAGTGCCCAGGACTAAAACCAAAAACAACAATAACAAAAAAAAAAAGCAAGGAGCCTATCAAGTCCACAGAATAGGCTGACTTCTCTTTTCACATTTTTATCTGAATTCTATTAACAACAGGTTAATTCAACTATCATAGATTGGAACAAATATCATAGACCTGGCTCTACCACAAAATCTCAGGTGCTCTGTCTTATACACTATCACCCTGTTATTGGTAGAGCTCTGACAGAAAAAGTATACCCATCTCCTATGTATCTCCTGTGTGCTTTGGACTTTCTTTGAAACTCCACTGTGTTAACAAACATGACAATCACACCTCAGGAGACAGTGCACAGATATCACAGCCATGGGCACTAGTTGTGACCTTACAAAGTTTTGTCCCGGGAATAGGCTGGCAGAACATGAACATGTGTGCAGTTCTGTGGCCCTACTGGAGACAGTGCAGTGCAAGAGGTCTTGTGGCTTCGGGATATCTGGCTTAAACCAGGCATTAAACTCAATTCTGCTGAGGAGTCCAAGTAGTGGAACAGAACAGTGGGGAGGGGAAAGGGGCATACCAAGGGCCAAATGCCAAGGCCTACTCTTCCAGCTCAGCTCCAGGAGTCCTGGCAGGCAGCTGGTATTTGCCAAATCAGCTCCCTCTTCATGAGACAATGAGTCCACTGTTGACTGACCTGGGCCTTGATTAATATTTGCAAGAGAACAAAGTGGAAAATTCCACCTGTGTGGGTGAAGGCTGGACCCAGGAAATGTCAACAACCCTCACTGCCTTGTCTCAGGGATGGATCCAGCAGAGTCACAAAGGTCGCAGTAGCAGGGACATGATTTGGGGACCGTCTTTACTCTTGGGTCCAAGGGAATTTTCCCATTTGAATATTAGGATTTTGTTGTTGTTGTTTTTGGTCGGTCGTGGGGCTTGAACTCTGGGCTTGAGTGCTGTCCCTGAGCTCTTCAGCTCAAGTGCTCTACCATTTGAGCCACAGCACCACTTTCCTAGGACTTTTTTAAAAATAAAATTCTCCTGCCTTCCCTGCCTAAACCTACACAGTAATATTTTTGGGTGTACATTCAAAAAAGACTACCAAAACCAGGACTTGAACCTTGAACTTTTGCTCAGCTTTGTTATGCATAGCTGGCCCTCTACCACATGAACCACATTCATAGTCCAGCATTTTGCTGATTAATGGAGATAAAGAGTCTCCAGGACTTTCCTGCCTAGGCTGGCTTCAAATCTCAATCCTTTGATCTCAGCCTCCTGAGTAGCTAGTAGTAGTACAGGCATGAGCTGTAGGTACTGAGCTCTACACAGCAATTTTAAGCCCTTCAACTTCCTTCCCCAACTTCTGCTGTGAGTCCCCTAATAGCCTGCTAGTGAGCAGAGCTGATGTTAGTGACATACTATAGGAATGGGGAAACTGAGAGACCAAGAGCCCAAGGCCAAGAGACCACATGTGAGTCCCAGAGTCAGGCAGACTAGAGACTAGGAGTTTCGGCCCTCAGTGGCAACACAGAGCCAGTTTGGGGAGGGGCAGGAGGTGTCTTGGTGAGGGGCTACCTGTCCTGGATAGAAAGATCTTCCAGGCTTTGGCCCAGTTCATGGCCCAGGCCATGAACTTTGCCTGCCTGTGGAAGAAGCAAGAAGGTCAAAGCAGCTCTACTAGGTGGGCAGGCTTTTACATAGCCTTGGAGGAAGGTATGTGTTGTTATTCCTTTATTCAGACCTTTAATGAGCACCTACTAAGGTTACCTCCACCAAGTGTTTCAGAAATCCAGCCTTGGCAGAATATGACTGAAGGAGTCTCCAAAGATCACCTCCTTCAGACTCTAGTCCTCTTGTTGCTACTCTGTGGTGTCATCTACCCTATTTTATAGAAAAAGAACCAGAGGCTCTGAGAAGAGCTAGAAGGAGGAAACTGGGCCCTGCAGAACCCAGGTGGCCCTGCCTCCAGTTTTCAACCTACAGTTACAGGATCCAAGCAAGCTGAGTCCCTTTTGGAAGGCCACTGATCAACAAGGGCCTCTTATAGAGATACTTGTAGCGTGAACCAGTGTGAAAGCCTCAGAGGCGAGGTCCTGTTTACCACGCAGAATCCCTCTCACTTTCTCCTTTCTCTGCCCATTCCACAGCCAGCCCTGAGGAAGCCTGAAGCACACACCCATCCCAGAAGTCCCAAAGCAGGGACAGCATCATCTCTATGCCTATCATTGCTGGCCCCACAGCAGGGACTGAGGAACTAGCTCTGGCTGTTCAGAAGTTGGTTTTATACAACAAGAGCATTCCCCTCCTCCCACATGCTCAACTACTCTTATCCCACCCTCCCTCCATTCTTCCTCTCTCCTTTTTCATCCCCTCCTAGACCCTAGAGAAGGAACTTAGCCACCGCCTTTCTCAAAACAAAACTACCTCCCACCCCTTCTATTTCCAAGCCTACTTCCTCTTGCTACACTAACTTGGCAGTCTTTCTGCTAGACCATGCCACCCCCTGGACTCTGCACCCATGTGACCTCCTGCCCCTCCTGCTTCAAGATTGGGTTTCTTGCTCTCACCACCTCCCTAGTCCCTAACACCCCAGGTTTTCCTCCCCAAAAGTACTACGAATGGCTGACTCACAGACTTGTCCCCAGGCAAACCTTTACGTTCCAAGTCATCCCAAAGTCTCTGCACTTAGCTGGAGTTCCCCACTGCAGGGCCTTTTCTGCCAACACAGCTCTGAGCTTGTCACTGCAGGCTCTCACTACTCACTGGCTGCACACATGGTGGTGGTCTGGTCTCTGAGAGGTAAGTCCCTACCATCTCCCCCCACCCCCCCACCCCCCCACACAGGTGGCCTTTAACAAACAAAAGATTCCCCACCATCTAAATGCCTGGGTCAGTTCCTTGACAACATGGGACAAAGTTCATGGTTCTAAGCTGCTTCCACTGCAGCAGGGTGGACACCGGTGGCCTTGAACATGCCTCTCACTGCACTTATCTTCCGTCTCAGAGCACCCAAGTGCTACCTACCTTTGCACCCTGGTGCTTGGCAAGGGTTTACTGTACAGAAAGGCCACTACTGGAGCTAGAAATGATCTTAGGGAATACAATGCACACAGTAACTCAGAAAGATTGACCTAGAATAGTCCATCCCCAGGAAGGGGTAAGGCCACAACCTCACCTGAGTAACTCTGACCCCCCAGGGGCCAGATCAATCCTTGTTAATGATTCCTTCATCCCACCTGTAAGCATGCCAGAGGCCCACTGACCTGGAGGCTGGGGACTGTGGGTGGGGAAGGACTGGAGTAGTTTCGTCTAAGCCTCACTGGCGAGCTAGGCCTGGCTCACTCTAAGGGCCTCAGTAAACCTAGCTGCTTAACTCAGCACCACCTTCCACCAGTGGAGATGCCATCCAGAAATTGCATGTCCTGTTTGAGGGCTAAATACAGCCTATAAGGGGAGACCCAACGTTGTTGTTTGCAAATGAGGGGCTGAAGCAGCAAAGTTCCAGGTTCTGTGCCTCTACTGTAAGCTCAACCGATTGTCAACTGTCCCTCAAACCACTATTCCAAAGGAAGGTCCCGGGACCACCCTCCCCAGCTTGGTGGGAGGTTGGAGTGGGGGGGGGGGGGGGGGATGATCAGGCCTGGCCTTGAAGACTCAGTCTCATTTAAGTGCCAACCCTGAGAACTGCCGCTCTAAACCGACAATGCTGAGGCTTCCACTGAGACCCCCAGATGCTACCATCAGACCTCTTTTTGTGCAAACACACATTTACCAGCAAACAAATCTAAGGAGCAGAGATTCCCATAGCTCTTTCATCGCCTAAGTTCCTGCTGACTAGCAAGCACCCTTGACAAAGTTGATGGGGCGGAGATTTGCGTCTCACCCCCTTTCTTTCCTGGGCTCAGCCGCCACGTAAACAAAGGGGGCCCCCAAGTCCTCCCAACCCGCCAGACCCTCCCGGCTGGAGGAGTTCTGGACTCCGTGCTGGACACCAATTCCGGAATGGGCCGGGTTCGGGGCGCCTTCTCCGCTACTCACCCTTGGCCGCTGGGCCCCCGCACCGTGGGCCACCTCGAAGCTGGAGCGGAGCTAGAGCAGGGCGGCCGCGGCCCCGATCCCCGCCCCGCTACACTGTAACTGACCGCACACGCGCGCACCGCTCTACCCGAGGGGTCGGCCGGGTCCCAGCGCCTGGCTGGCAGGCCGGGCGCGGCGGGGCGCGGCGCTCGGCCCGGCCCGGGGCGTGGGTGCGGGCGCCACACCTGGCCCCCCACCCGCACGTGCGCACCGGCCGGGAGCGCGCGGCTGAGACCCCGCCCACCCCGGGAGCCCCAGCCAGAGACTTTACCACCTTGGGAAGGGGCCAGTGACCCGCCTCTGCCCGGACCAGGGCGGAGCTGCGGGACGGGGGGGCGGAGCCCCGAGGGAGTGGCCGGTTTGAAGGGATAAGAGCCGGGAGGGCTGCTGGCCTGAGCCCCCGCGTGGTGGAGGCCAGGTCATGTCGCTTGTGCTGCTGAGCCTGGTTGCACTATGCAGAAGCGCCAGAAGCACCATGCCCCAAGAACCGGTAAGCATTGCACCTCTACCCCTCTTCGCCCCTTGCCTCGCTCCGGAATCCTGGCTGTGCCCCACCGGCCAGCCTGTGCTTCATCACACCTTGAGGTACAGGTCTCTGATGGCGGCTCATGATTAGCATCCCTTGGGCAATCCCGATGGACCATAGGGCTCCCACCAGCCTCCTCTGCTTAGGCCAGCATCATGGAGCGTTGAACTGTTTGCATGAGGCGTGAGGAACAGACAGATCTAGTAGTAGATGCCGCCCCGGGGTTGTTGATTAAGTCATCTGTGCTCACCTCGCCTCCATTTCTTCATCGGTAAAAGGAAAGGTAGCACCTAACTCTCAAGGGTGTCCTAAGGAGGCCATGTCCTGAAAAGCATCAGCAAAGAACCTCATTGTTCAAGGTTGGTTTGACCACCTGTTGAGGCTCCCTACTTGCTTTTCTTCCTCTTGGATCATGTTGATTCCAAAAGTTAAGTTTCCTTTCTGAGTTCCTTAAATGATCGATCTGTATCACTAAAGAGGAAAAAAGCTCATCTTCAAAAAAAAGCCTTCCGAACCAATTCCTACCTCTCAGATAGTGTAGAACATCATAGCATGGTGGATCTTTGTTGATAGTTATGGAAAACCACAAAGCATTCAAGGTTTCCTGATATCTTCTGCAACTGTCTTTGCCTTCTTTGTTCTGAGATCCCCTTAGCTTTTCCACTAAAGGAAGAATTCGCTTCCTTTGTGGCACATGTGTAAGGCAAGTTTAAACTATGAGTTAGAGCTGTTGCTTGGCTTCTTTCTAAAACTTAACTCATTAGTCCTTCAACAGAAACTTAGCTTCCAATGTGGTATCTTAATTGTTTAAGAAGAATATCTGATGAGATCCCTCCAGTTCAGTTTCACAGAGACAAAGAAATGAGGATGATTTTATCCAAACCCAAATTGCTCAAACCATCAAAAATGTTGCCTTGGGCTAGGATCATGTCTCAAGTAGACACCAGACTGTCAAACGAGAGAGAGGTCCTGAGTTTAATCCCCAGTACTGAAGAAAAAAGTTTTACCTTCTATCTTACCAGGTGTTTAGAAATGTTGAGGCTTAGACTCATGGATTTATCAATTGAGTATTGTCACTGGAGCTTGCTGCTGCCTAGAATTTAAATATTTTAAGTTAATATGTTATTTGCAAACCAAAATACTAATTTCTGTGTGTGTGTGTGTGCACATGCACACGCACAAGTATACACCTATTCTAGGGCTTGAACTCAGGGTCTGGGCACCACTGTCTCTGAGCTTCTTTTGCTTAAGGCTAGTGCTCTACCACTTGAACCACAGCACAACTTCCAGCTTTCTTTGAGTAGTTTGCTAGAGATAAGAATCTCATGGCCTGTCCTTCCCAGGCTGGCTTTGAATCTTGATCTTCAGATTTTAGCCTCCTAAGTAGCTAGGGTTACAGGCATGAACCACCAGCACCTGGCTAATTATTTGTTTTTAATGGAAAAACATGAGCAATTTACCTCAAAGGATTTAATACTAGCTTTTCTTGGACATCAATGACAAATGTTTGCTTTTTTTTTAAAGCTCTTTTTAAAAAGACAGCATGATGAAATCACAGTTGTTTATGGTTGTATAAATAGCTCAAGTACAAAAGAAGAGAAACATGTTAAGAATCTGGGGAAGTTACCATTGGCTGTATTTATTGTTTTTTTTTCCTTTGTACAATCATCCTTAGTCTGGGAAACTCCATAAAAACTCCGGATTATTCTGAAAACCTACAGTCAAACATTAGGCATGCAGGTGGGCCTACAGGGGTGGAGGGGGGAGGGTGGGTGGTACTCAGGGAAGTCTGAAACCCATACATGAGTGGAGACTACCTCTGGTCTTCAAGTGGACCACTGGAAGATCAGGCATATTAATGTCACATCTATGGTTCATCATAGCCTACACTGGAGTAGCTTAGTTTTCTCCAAGCTATGAATTAGAACCAGATCATTTTTTTAAAGTTTATAACTTACATATGCACCCACAGAAAAAAAGATGGTGTTTCGCCTAATTTGATAACAGAAGGGTTGTGGTTTGTTGGCTTCAATGTGACGCTTGGTTTCTTTCTCTCCTGCAGAATATTCAGTGTGGCTTTGAAGCTGGTAAGTACATTAGGGAATGGGTATTGGACATTATTATATTCAATTACATTTGGATGTGATGAGAGCTTGAAACTAGGAAGTGGGTCATCAGAGACCAAGCACAGAACAAATGATTACTTTGTTTTAGTTGCTGAGATTGAAGTTCTCAAGAACTCTGGAGGAATAAAGAGGTGCCAGAGGTGGGTTGGGACACAAGCAGATCATACCATGCAGAGTGGAAAGGAATGTTTGCCACTCTGTAGAGGGAGAGCCAGTGCAGGGGAGAGAGGTCCCTTACAGTGGGGATCAGGAAGCAGATGTTTTATAGAAGAATGAGTGTTTGAGATGGTAGTGCTTGAAGAATGGGTTTCAGTCCCAAAAATGGGTATAGGGAAGGTGAGATGTAGGAGAGGTGGCAGCAGCAAAGGCTGGTAGGTAGTAGAGTAGGGGGTAGTGTGACCAGCTGGTTGGAAAAATTAAATATAGTACAAATACACATACACCTCTCCATACCCAGGGAGCTGGAGTGATCCCAAATGTGCTGTTGTTTGTAGCTGAAGTCGGCGCCAGCTTAGCTGTGTTCAGCCAGCACCTAGAAAGGCTTGGCTTACATTAGTTGGAAGTTACGATGAATTGTGAAGAGTGACAGGTCAGGATGGGCCAGGAGACTGGACCAGGAGGAGGAGTGTCATGAGGAGTCTTCCCTTTGCCTAGGGCCATCTCCAGAGTGGATGATCCAACATACTCTGACCCCAGGAGACTTGAGGGACCTCCGAGTGGAACCCGTTAGAACCAGTGCTGCAGCAAAAGACAATTCAATTTTGATGAACATAAGCTGGACACTCCGAGCAGATGGTAAGTTTGCACCAATCAAATATAAGGCCAGAAGTATCCACTAAACCAGGAATGTGCAGGCTATAGGACCCATTAATCTCACTCCTAGATATATCCAACAAAGATCCCGACATGCTTGTATTCAAAGCAACATTCTAGGATGTTCACAGGAACACTGTTCTTAACAACCAAAGCACACAAATACCTGAGAATGGAATGTAGTCACAGAGTCACAATCAAATGATCTATAGCTGCACATAATATGGATGTCACAAACATAAGCATCTGGACAGTTCATACAGTTATTCCTGTATGCGTACCACAGTTGTACGTGCTGCATAATCTGAAGGTTCACAACTGGGTTGATGGTTACTTAGGGCTAGGAGTGACTGAAAACAATCGTAAGGGGAGCCTGTAGGGTGGGAGATTCTTCACCTATGCTAGGCATACAAGTATGCAAATTTATCAAGTAGTATGCTGATGATCTGAGGTTTTTTTTTTTTTCAGTGCATTATACTTCATGGAAAAAGATGGAAAGACCAGGCATAAGTCCCCCAGTTTAGGACAAACACTGGCTTAAGTGGGTTACTCCTCCTCTTTCCAACTGGTATAATGAAAGTCTTGGCATCTGCTCTAGATTATGCTACAAGACACATACAAAGCAACCTGTGGATTCTTAACAATGAATCTAATGCCCGTGTTTGTGTTTAGCCCATGTGTTTCCATGGGCTAAATTCAGCTAAATTTGAGGTAGTCAAGATCAAATCTGACCTTAGGAACTACATCAGAGCTCCCCTGGAACTCTGTAAGCCTTGCTCACCCCATCTGCACACTGGGTCCAAGGGTTGCTTACCTTTTAGTGATGCTGTGTTTACTATCAACTGAGGTAACATGGGAAGGGTCTAGCATCACATCCACCACATAGTAAGCACTGAGTAACAAAACTGCCCAATTATGTGTCTCTGCAGCCAGCATCCGTCTGTTGAAGGCTACCAAAATCTGTGTGACAGGCAAAAGCCATGTGCAGTCATATAGCTGTGTGAGGTGTAATTACACAGAGGCTTTCCAGAGTCAGACCAGACCCTCTGGTGGCAAGGTAAGCATGTGATTATGCATGTGATTATGACTGAAAACTGGGCTCTCTGGGGAACTGCCCAAGTTCAAATTCCATTTTTAGCCACTTCACTTCTCTATGCCTTTCCTGCACATTTCTAGTTCAATGGATACTTCAGGATATATCAGCAAAGCAATTAAATTATTCTAGTGCTAATATTTCATCCCTTTCCCTCCCCCCCCCCCTGAGTTACAATTGTGTGGGGCCCATTGTTTAAGTAGATATTGGTTATGGACCTAAGTTCCAGCAGAAGCATAAGGGACAAAATTACAAATGAAAAGAACACCAGGTATTGGTGGCTCATACCTGGAATCCCGGTGAATCAGGAGGCTGAGATCTGGAGGATCTCAGTTTGAGGCCAGGGAAGGAAAGTTGCTAGACTCCATCTCCAAAGTAACCAGCAAAAAAGCAGGGTTAGAAGTGTGGCTAAAGTGGTAGAGGGCCAGCACAGCAAGCATATGAACCTGATTTCAAACCTTAGTAACAAGGAGAAAAGAAAAGAACCCAGAGTCCCTATCCCTCCCCATGCAGCCTGAGGAAACTGGGCACCTTGCTTTGTCTTGCAGTGGACATTCTCCTACATAGGCTTTCCTGTGGAGCTGAGCACTCTCTATCTCATTGGTGCCCATAATATCCCCAATGCAAATATGAATGAAGACGGCCCATCTTTATCTGTCAACTTCACCTCACCAGGTAAATTTCTTCAACTCTTCAGTTAGTTTTTGTCTTATTGAGACATCTGCTTTGGGGTATAAGTTTGGTCCAGTAAACCAAGGGGACTCTGGACAAGGCTTTGGATTAGCAAGGTCTGTTTCCTCATCTGTCATATGTACACAAGAGTAATACTCCTAATTCAAAGAGTAATTGAGTGAAATGCAAGGCAAGTACCAGTCCTGGGTATCAGGCAGGTTACTGAGCCCGGTACTGAGCCTCCATACCAACCTTGAATTTGGAATAGCCCATAATTACAGGTGAGGAAACTGAGGGGATAAATGACTCAAGGAAAGCAAAACTGATGGTTTAACAAGGGATACAGGTGGACCCATTGCAACAATGAGATGTACACGTCGTTATGTCGAAAAATGAACTTTACAATTTTGGTGTGTGGGGGGGGGAGGATCAGGTAGGGGGAGGTGGGGGAGTATGGGAAAGGATGGGAAGGGGAAACAAAGAGGAGGCAACAATGCTTGATAAGAAATGTACTCGTTATCTTGCCCATGTAATTGTAACTCCCCTGTGCGGTATTCTCACAATAAAAAAAAAGAAAAAAGAAAAGCAAAACTGACCTTTAAACTTGGGTTTTTCACCGCAGTGTTCTGGGCTGTCCAAGTCATTTTCAGTGACAGCTTTCTTGGTAAAACTAAATCTCATTTTATTTTTAAATAATTTTTTTTTTAAGTTTTGGAATTGCAAAGCTAGTACAAAGAGTTTTCTCCCCTGGTAATTTTTCCAATTGTTACATTGACCAATGTAAAAACATTGGTACATTTCTATTAAGAAAACTCCAGATTTTATTGGGTTTCACCTACATTTCTACTAATGTCTTTTCTATTGGAGTTGTATTTAGTCCCTTGTTTCACCTGACTCTCCTTTGGTTAGTTTCTTAGTTTTTGTTTTCATGACCTTGACAATCATCCTGAGATTGCTCCAATTTGTCTGATCCTTGTCTTATGCTTAGCTTGGGGGACATGGGTTTAGGGGCCTTATTGTATTTTGTCAAAGGTGTGACATCACTGCTGACATTCACTTTTGTCCCCTGCTAGGCAACTGGGTGAAGTAGGCAATAGGTTGGAAGAGGCAGAATCCATATATATTACCAAATCTTGCTTTTAAAAGATTGTGAGTTTCTGAGAATCTTCTCTCAGGGATAACGAATACTGTTTTTGTTTTTGTTATTGTTTTTCTTGTTTTGTTTGATAGTACTGGCATTTGAAAGCAAGACCTTGTGCTTGCTAGACTGGGGCTCTACTCCTTAAGCCATGTCACAAGCCCATCAATACTGTTTTTTATAAAGATTGTATTTAAATTAGACTCTGGTTACAACTCCATAGGCAGGTGATTTTCTGTGCAACAATAAAATGGTAGTAGCTTGTTTAGATTTTCTCTCTCAGTCATATCTGGGATGTTTTGGTAGTTTGTTATAGGTGGTATTTATGTCTGGGGTGTGTGTGTGTGTGTGTGCATGTGTGCGTGTGTGTGTGTATTATGTACATGTTTACATTTGTTGGAAAGGGGAATACAATAGAAATACTTTTTTTTAAAGTGCAAAACCTTTCATTCAATTTCCAGGATGCTTAGACCACATAATGAAATACAAACAAAAGTGCATTGATGCAGGTAAGTAGATGCAGCATTGTGTTTAGTTATATGAAGATGCTCCTAACTTGAGCCAGCTCCACCCAGCCTTGCACAGATGAAGAACTAAGGCCTACAGTTGGAAGGTATGAGCCAAGCTGCCCAATGAGAACTGAAATTCCCAGGTTTCTTGCCCTCTGTTTAGCACTTTGCCCACTGGGACAAATAGCTCTCTAGGGAAGGACTCATATGAAACCACCTCCACACCGTTGGCTAAACTAACATTTTAGCCTAAGCCACATGTAACAATGGCATAAATAGAAGGCTGGTTCTGATTGGACTGGAATCACGTGTTTACCACCACCATGACCTTTGATGGTGAAGACCCGAAAAGCTCTTGCTGGTTTAGCAAACATTCAGGGTAGGAATATTTGTCAGTGACCTAGAAGCGAGTTCTCAACCTGTGTCCTAAAAGGGAATTACCTTTTCCATGCTAGACTATTAAGTCTCCCCCTTGAACTGTGAAATAACCCCTTTACGATGATCACTCTTTGGTGCCTAATTTCCAGAGATTAGTGTACAAGCCTCAGCTATTGTAGTCTTAGGATACTAGTAAGGCTAGTATCCTAAGGCATCTCTGATAGACTGCCTTGGCATTGTGAAGCAGACCTAGAATGGGAGACTTTACTCTCTTACCCCCCTTCCTCAAGGGGGGCGGGGGATCCTATCTGTTGGACTATGAAGGAATTTAAGGTGTGAGGTTTGAAGGCCTGGAATCAGTCCTAGCATGAACTCCTAAAGTCAGCTGTGAACCAGGGCCTACTGAAATGGTCTCCTAAGAGAGGTAGTTCATTCATGTGGTTATACATCATGTTCCTGGAAATAAACCTAATCCTTATTTGCAAGTCACATCACTAAAACAACTGACTTTTTCTCACAGCAGACCTGTCAGGGAATCCTTTAGGTTGTCGGCCATTTCCTTATTTGAATTCAGTAAAGCTGGCAGAAGGCTGTGCTGAAGTACCAGGACCAAAGAATGATCTCGTGGTTGCCTTTCTGCTCTTGAAGTCACTAGCTTCCTGTTCTTAGCTATGTCTCTAGCCTGTGCCTTCTCCCATGCTTGGAAGAAAAAATATTGGCCCTAGGCCTTAACTCAAAATACAGACTAAGAATAGGAGTAGAACCGTATCTGTGCCCCCTACCACCCTTAGCTCAAGGAAGCTATTTTTGGCAAAGATGTGAGAATTCCTAAACTTCTCTTGGACAGCAGTTATTTTGAGACTCTGGGGGGCAATATTTTAAAAGTACACTTGGTAATAGAGTCCCTATCTCTTGGATGTGTGCCTGAAAATTAGATTTTTTATTTTTTGCAAAGATTTTGGGAGAGGCAGACTAAAGGAAGCAGTTAACTAGTTAATCTGTGTGGTTCTTTCTCAACTCACAGGGAGTCTGTGGGAACCAAACATCACTGCTTGTAAGAAGAATGAGAAAATGGTTGAAGTGAATTTTACAAACAGTCCCCTTGGAGACAGATACATGATTCTTATCCAGTATAACACCAGTGTTATATTGGAGGTACTTTTCCCCTTTGCTCCTTATTATTAACCCTCATCTTCAACCTCCAGTTTCCTTACTGTTTTGAAGGAGAATATTGACGTTCTGGGATTCTCTGAATAGGTTATAGGCTATTTTCTGAGAGAGCACAGAATTGTCTGTGGTCCCCTCAAGCTGAACTTTGTGTGTGTGTGTGTGTGTGTGTGTGTGTGTGTGTGTTTGCTGGTCCTGGAGCTTGAACTGACATTATCCCTGAGCTTCTGTGCTTAAGGGTAGCACTTTACCACTTAAGCCACAGCTCCAATCTGTATTTTTTTGAGGGGGGGGGAGAGGGTTAATCAGAAATAATAGTCTTAAGCCTCATGGACTTTTCTGCCTGGCCATGATCCTCAGATTTCAGCCTCCTGAGTAGGTAGGATTACAGGTGTGAGCCACCAGTGCCCAGCTCTTTTGATTAATTCAGCAGGAAGAAAAAATCCCTGTGGACATATTAGTATATTTCACTATAAATCTCAAGCTAATCAAAGGTATCAGAATATGAAGTGAATCCGTATTCATAGTTTGATGAAATGAAAATCAGGGAAGAGTGGCCTCTTCGTGGCCTTTGATTTCCTTGTTCACATGATTCTAATTCTTGACTGTGTCTCTTACCTACATAGAACAAACTAACTCGGACTTCTGTAGTCATTCCGGTGAATGGGGAGAGCGAAGGTGCCGTGGTTCAGGTGAGCTTAATGAGCTGTGTGTGAGGAGGGCTTGATTGTCTGGTAGCTCCATTAGGTGTTTTGGTTGCATCCTTTTTTTGTCTGTGTGCAGGTACCAGGGCCTGAACGAAGGATGGAATTTTTGCTTGTATTTTTCAATCATGGATGGCACTTTATCATGAGCCAAGCTTTTAGTTCCTAGATGCCTCCCTTTAAGAAAGTTGGTTCTCTCCTTCCCAGCAGCCCTGCATCAAGCCATATTAACAGGGACTTGTTGCATTCTGTACAGTGATGAGATCAGGAAATTGACCCTGAAGCCACGGTCCCCTTTGCTTGTATTAGTGGCTGCTGCTTAAAAAAAATCATATTCCTTCTATATACTGAACAGTAAGTTCTAGGTTGCAAAAGAGGATTTATTTTTTGTAGCTGCCTGTAAGTCTTTGCTTACAAGTTAAGCAAAAACAACAAAAAAAAGTTAAGCAAAAACATCCACAGGTGTTAAGGCGGTTAAAGTTCTTTTGTTTCCATCTTTTTGTCATGAACTCTCGGATCTATTCTAGGCAGAACCAACCATTTTATTTCCTTAAGTCTAATTTTTTCCCCTTCAAGTCTCATTTTTTGGTAAGAAAACTTGGTGGAGCTTTATTAAGTAAGTAGGCAAGCAAGCAGACAAGCAGAGAAAAAGCAGACAGGCAGAAAAATGGGGCACACTAACAGATAGTGTGGGTGCTCTCAAAGGGAGGGAAAGAGAGAGAGAGAGAGAGACAGACAGACAGACAGACAGACAACTCAAGTCTCATTTTTAACTGCAAAATGAACTTGCAGAGTATTTGAAGCAGGTCGGTTTGGGTTCCAGATTGATGTATGAACTCTGGAGAGCAAACTGCCTGTCATTTGGGAGCCTCAGCTGAGTAAGGTGGAAACAAGTTGAACTAGTAGATATTCTGACTAGTAGATGTTCTGATACAGGTGGTAACAGTGAGTCACAGCCACAGCCAAGAGTAAAAAGCTGTTGTTTGATTGATTTTGTCTGCTGCAGGGCTTGAACTCAGGGCCTGGGCATTGTTCCTGAGTTCTTTTGCTCAAGGCTAGTGCTCTACCATGTTGAGGCACAGCTCCACTTCCTGTTTTTGAGTGGTTAAAGAGTCTCATGGGGACTTTTCTGCCCAGGCTGTCTTTGAACTGGAATCCTTAGATATCAGCCTCCAGAGAAGCTAGGATTATAGGCATGAGCCACCAGCACCCACATGTAAACAGTTTTTGTTCTTCATTCCTCAGAATGTGAGGATGTTCTCAGACTGGCCAGGCCCAGCAGACCCTCTTCCAGGAAGCCACAGACTTGTCCTACCTGACATAGAGCACCGAGGTCAACAAAAGCTTCAGTAATCTGTTGTCTTACAGGAAATGCTGTATATTTGCTAGGATATAGCCCAGCCCTTCCAGATAAGGAAGCCAGCATGTTAGTAACTTGCACAAAGTTTAGGTTTAGAACCCCAATCTTCAGGTGTTTCAATCTTGAGTCATAGAATACAACAGGGGCTTTGGTATGTGTTCCCAAAGACAAAATGTCTATGCCAATGTTAGAGGAAAAACTAGCAGAGGTTGCAAGGGAAGTAAGAGTACTGCTGAGCTTTTGCTCTTAAGTGTGGTAAGAACTCACTAAGCCTTTTTTCTTTTTCCAGGTGACTCCATATTTCCGTACCTGTGGCAATGATTGCATCCGACGGAAAGGAATTGTGGTGCTTTGCCCACAGACAGTTAGTCCCTCCTCTCCAGATAACAGTAAGTGCTCAGTAGTTACCACAGGATGATCAGATGTTCATGACATGCAGAGCCCTCCCAGTATGTGTCTGTGGGGGACACATTTTGTCACAAGGTGACAGAAAGATAATAGTGCTGTCACAGAGAGCCCTGTAAGAACAAAGGCTTTATTTATAAAACCATGCTCGATCCTTTTCAAAGCAGGAGATGCAGACGGAAAAAAAGGCAAAATGGATGTTGAAATTGCCATAGGCTCTGCTGAAAAAGTCTTGATGTACAAGACATTTTGGTTATGTGAGAGAATGTGAATTTTTCTGGGCTCCAAGTCCCTATCAGCCTGAGTGACGTGGACAGGCTGTATGTTCTTGTGACTTGATATGGTTGTGCAGCCAACATTTGGATAACAAATTAGGGGTACTGGCACCAAGAGACGCCTCACTGGTGCCTGAGCAGCATGTTCTGGAAAAAGACTCTTTGGATTAAGAAATATGTCAGTTCTTTTATTAGCAATGGGCAAATAAAAGTTTCCAGCCCATGGGTGGAGTCAAAAGATAGAAGATGTTATTGTTAAGAATCTCTGCCAAATGAACTGAAGACAAAATGGGTTTCTAATAATGCTTACTTCTATACAGGCATGGTACGTATGTGTATTGTATCCATGTGCAGCCAGTATTCCTCAAAGTTCCTGTGAACTCTGAGTGAGAATGTCTGAGTATGCTAAGCAGTAAGAAACCCAAGGGATTTTGGAGGACGTCTCCTCACTCCCTGAGTCCCCTATCCCCACTGCGAATCAAATGAGAGCTAGACACTGGAAAAACACACCAGCAGCAGACTCCCTGAAGATTTCCCAATCTTTGGTTTTAAAGAGATTCCAACTTATATAAAGTAAAAATCTTAGTTCTGGGGTAAATGATAAATGTGGTTTTGTTTGCTGAAGGTAAATTAGCTGTTTTCTCTAGACAGAAGTGTGCTGGGAGGCTGGCTTCCTCTCCTCCTGTCGCTGCTGGTGGCCACTTGGGTGCTGGCAGCTGGTATCTACCTGACGTGGAAGCATGGTAAGAATCATCATTCTTGGGCTGGGAAGGTGGCTCAGTGGTAGAGCGCTTGCCTTGCATGCATGAGGAGGCCCTGGGTTCGATTCCTCAGTACCACATAAGCAAAAAGAAAAAAAGCCGGAAGTGGCGCTGTGGCTCAAGAGGTAGAGCCTTGAGCTGAAGAGCTGAGGGACAGCGCCCAGGCCCCAGAGTTCAGGCCCCACGACCAGACGAACCCCCCCCCCAAAAAAAAAAAAAGAATCATCATTCTTTCTAGAAACACTTGTGCTGGCATTTCCCAGGGTTAGGGCAGCATTTTTTAAATATTTTATTGTTCTAATAAAGATCATGTGCAGAAGGGCTTCCATCATACAGTCTGTTATGTAAGTCAGGCAATGAGTATATTTCTTTTTGGACAGTGCTACCCCTTCTCTTGCTGTCTCCCAGTTTTTCCATTACACCCCCACCCACAAGTTGTACAGTTCATTTTCAACAGTGTCTAGTGAGTACACTGCTGCATTTGTTCACCCTTTGTCCCTCTATTAGGGCAGTACTTAATGGCTTGGAACACTAGTGGAGAGTCTGGTATGCTCTCCAGTAGTTTAGAATAGTGAGGACCTGCACATCTGCTGACTAGAGTCATATTTCATTTTTACCATTCTAAGCACTAAAACAGCATACTGCATTTCACTTGAGATACTCTATGTGAATTCCTACGTTTTAAAAATTGTTCTTTTAATTTATTTGAACCCTTAGAAGGTTCTTGCCAACATTGAGTCTTTGAATATGGATGTCAGGGAATTAATGTAGATCTATAGCTAGTGAAAGTTTCTGCCTTTCCCTTATCCCATGCATAGAAAATGGAAGTGATTTTTTTTTTTTTTTTTTTTGAGCTGCATGGGATGTTGCAGACTCATCCTATGAGCCTTAGTAGCTTACTGCTTGCTTAGAAAGTGCAACACCCTGGATTCGAGCCCCAATAGCAAAAAAGAAGAGATAAAAACCCCCAAAATTTTAAAATAAAGGCTGGCATCAGTGGCTCATGTCTGTAATCCTAGCTACTCAGGAGGATGGGATCTGAGGATTGTTTCAAAGCCAGTCCAGACAGAAAAGTCTATGAGACTCCTCCCCTCCCGGCCTGGGCGCTGTTCCTGAGCTCTTCAGCTCAAGGCGAGTGCTCTACTGCTTGAACCAGTGTCACTTCTTGTTTTCTAGTGGTTTATTGGCAATAAGAGTCTCATGGACTTTCCTGCCTGGGCTGGCTTTGAACCGGGATCCTCAGATCTCAGCCTCCTGAGTAGCTAGGATTACAGGCGTGAGCCACCAGCATCTGGGCTCTATGCAACTCTTATCTCAGTTGATCAGCAAAACACCCAAAGTAGAAATGAGATCACCAGCACTGAGCAAAACAGCTAAGAGCGTGAGTCCGAGTGAGTGAGTTTGTCCCAGTATTGGCATGTACGTGCAAGTACTCACATACTCTGTCTCAAACACACAGAGCCATGAGTCCATCTAGGTTGATGACAGAACTACAGATTCTACCATCTGCAGTTAGAGAATAGTATATACAAATTACAACCGACCCAACTCAAATGTGATAGGCAAAAGTCAAGTGTGCATTTAGGTAATACTAAATATTCCAGTTATACCAATCTACGCCTGGCACAGTATCTGAAATACAGTTTCTATGAATTTATTTGGAAAGATAAAAGCTTGATTGAGTGGACTGATTTAATGACTTAAGTCTATTCAAACATAGTTAAGCTTAAGCATCAGTGTGTTTCAGGTGGTGGGTTCAAAAGGGCTATCAGGGATATTTTTTCCTCCTGCAATAACTAGGATCCTGGTGCTTAGCTGATATCCTCTGGCCAGGGATCATTTGTTGATGATAGGTTAACTAGAGTGATTGCCTGATGTTTGTTATACAAGTAACCAATTCTCCTTTTCCTCTTACTTCCTACAGAGAGGATCAAGATGATGTCTTTTCCTACTACCACCACACTACTTCCTCTCGTTAAGGTTTTGGTAGTTTACCCATCTGATGTATGTTTCCATCATACAGTCTGTTACTTCACTGAATTTCTTCAAAACCACTGTAGAAGTGAGGTTGTCCTTGAAAAGTGGCAGAAAAAGAGAATAGCTGAGGTGGGTCCCCTGCAGTGGCTTACTACTCAGAAGCAAGCATCAGATAAAGTGATCTTCCTCCTTTCTAACGCTGCCTGTGATGGGGCTTGTGGCCAGAATGAGTGCGCCCCAAGGGAGAACTCTCAGGACCTGTTCCCTCTTGCCTTTAACCTTTTTTGCAGTGATCTAAGTAGCCAGACTCATCTGCACAAATACATGGTGGTTTACTTCAGAAGGGCTGATATCAAAGACAATTACAATGCTCTCCATGTCTGCCCCAAATACCACCTCATGAAGGATGCCAATGCTTTCCGCACAGAACTGCTTCGTGTCACACCACATGTGTCAGTAGGGAAATGGTCACAATCCTGCCACGGCAGCTGCTCCCCCTTGTAGTCCACGTAGGAGAAGGGAAAGACCTCACATTTTTCCTACTCCAATCCCAGTAACAAAAGCTTTATGATGACCCTAAAGTTTACTGTACAGTTTGTTTGTAAGAATAGTACAAACACAACTGCTTTAGAACTGGAGAATGCCTTAGGCTAGTCACTAACAATCTTTATGCTTATTGTTAAGAACATCACTAACTACTAGAACATTAAAAAACTGAAACTTATAGAACTACAAAACTAAATCTTGTATCAAAAGTCCAAAATGGTTACAATTAAGAACTCTAATCATTCTGGAATAAAGCATCCTTCAACCAAAACTCGTCTTATATGACCTATGCACTGTAAGGTAAAAGTTGAGTTCTGTTCTCAGGAATGCAGCAACTTCCTAAGGGAAAAGCCTTTACACACTCAAATACGCACACGTTTCTGAGATTATGGAAGTACAGAATAACAAGCTGGCCCTATCTTGGCTGAACATAGATGACCTAGTATATTGTAACCACTATTATTATTTGGTATTTGCATAGGACCTTGCTTGCCTAACTCCTGGACAGGTAACATTATTATTTTCATTACAATTTAGAGGTGTTAAAGATCCTAAAGGCTGTACATAATAGTGTACAACTGAAGTGCTCTGTCACTGAAGTAAATCTCTAGACTATGAGAGGTGACTTTTACTTATTGTAAAAATTTCTTTAAGCTGGGTGTTGATGGATCATGCCTGTATCTCTAGCTACTCAGGAGTTTCCTAATCCTTGTTATTTAGCCATGTTGAAGTAATGCAGTCCACTACTTGAGCCATTCCACTAGTGGATTATCTTTGAGGTAGTGTTGATGACAGATAAAGGCCATCACAGCCGGATGACAGCTGCATGCTATGACAAGCATGTGCCACTGGACCAGCCATTGGTTGAGTTTTGGTCATGACTTTCTGCCTGAGTTGGTCTTACATTGTGATTCCCCTGATCACCCAATTCCTAACTCCCCATCAGCTCAGAGTATACACAAGCTTGAGCCACTGCATCTGGCTTGTATTATAAGTAAACTCTTATGATGTTAATGAAACGGCCAGTTACAGAACAGAGATAATAGGGTATTTCAGAGTCTTCTACTTTTTTCTTAAAAGTATCTTTTTCTTAATGTAGAAGTCACAAAATGTATTAGCATATATTTTTCTAGAAATGCTTATTTCATACAGTATAGTATTCAATTTGCTTTGGAATTTGGGTTGGTTTCAGATGGATGACTGTTAAAATGTACATACATATTTGTAGATTACCCTTAAAGGGCCATTCTACTTTCTAATACGTATCTTATGGATAAAACAATAAACCAAACTAGCATAAAGTAGGAACTTAGCATATGTAGCTTCAAAAACAGTCGCTTTAGAATCACAGAGGCAAGATGTTTAATGTGAAAAGGCTCAGTTATTTGTCATGAGAGCTTTCACAGTGCTTATAAAAGCTCTGGTAATAGAAGATAGTTATGACTATGTCAAAACTTGGACCAGAAATTAACTTCCTCTGAATCAACACCAACCTATTATATGAGTAACTGTTATAAACAGAAATACATTACAGTTCTGAAAATAAGTAGCCTATAATAAATTATGTTGAAACAGTCCAGAAACATTCTGTCAAACTGCAGGTACACATTTCATATAATAGTGGCAGGTTAAAATTATTCGGTTATACTACTGGACTCTTCGTGTTTCTAACCTACTTAGCAGTTACTCTGGTTAGTTTTACTTATGTAAATAGGTTAATACCAGCACTTCCCCAGCCACATAGTTTTCTATATACCTTTTTTTAAAAATAAGTTTTTTACTGTGAAAATACTGTACAGAGGGGTTACAATCACATGTGCACAAGGTAATGAGTACATTTTTTTTTTTGTCCGGTCGTAGGGCCTGAACTCTGGGCCTGGGCGCTGTCCCTCAGCTCTTCAGCTCAAGGCTAGTGCTCTACCACTTGAGTCACAGCGCCACTTCCGGCTTTTTCTGTTTATGTGGTGCTGAGGAATCGAACCCAGGGCCTCAGGCATGCAAGGCAAGCGCTCTACCACTGAGCCACCTTCCCAGCCCCCGGTAATGAGTACATTTCTTATTAAGCATTGTTGCCTCCTCCTTTATTTTTCCCCTACCATCCATTTCCTCCCATCTCAACTGTATTACCCCTTTCCTTCCCCTCCCCCCAGCCTAAATTGCAAAGTTCCTGGTATATATACACAATGGAATTCTATGCCTCCATAAGAATAAATGACGTTGCCTCTTTTGTTAGGAAATGGAAAGACTTGGAAAAAATTATATTAAGGAAGCCAGGCCCAAAGAAACGGGTCCCGTAGTTTCCCTTATTTCCAGTAACTAGCATATATCTGAGACAAGCAGAAAAGGTCAGATAAGATGATGTTAAGCAAAATGAACCCCAAGATAAGGACACAAGTAGTTTTTATTCTATATACCTTTCATTAAAAGAAAATTCAACTGAGAGATACAAAGAAGTCACATTTTGATAGTCCAAATGAGAGTCTTTATTAGAAAGCCTGCAGGTGGATTCCAGTTCCAAAGACCTGCCACCTTTGTAGTTTGCACAAAGCTTTTAAAGGCAAAAAGCATGTGTTTGGGGTGGGCCCCAAACTCAACAAGTGTTAATAAGCAAAGCAAAACAAACCATATAGGGGAATGATCAGGGGCTAGCATTCTCTGGAGCAAAACTTTCCTGAGGGTAAACAGCATGAAACATTTGTATATCCTCTGAAGTAGAACTCTCCAGGGGCTAAACAACAAGAGACATCAGCATTTCAAAGAATGGCCTGTCTTACCACTGGGCTTTTCAGAGCTAGATGATGACCTCCCCCTCCCCCCCCAACTCTCCCGCCCCTCAGCAAGCCAGAATGGCTGAGGATAAGGCATGTTACTTAGACCCTGTATGCTTATTTCATGTTCTTTTTTGTTTTTGGTCCGGTCGTGGGGCCTGAACTCTGCGCCTGGGCGCTGTCCCTCAGCTCTTCAGCTCAAGGCTAGCGCTCTACCACCTGCGCCACAGCGCCACTTTCGACTTTTTTTCTTTTTGCTTATGTGGTGCTGAGGAATTGAACCCAGGGCCTCATGCATGCGAGGCAAGCGCTCTACCCCTGAGCCACCTTCCCAGCCCCCGTTATTTCATGTTCTTATCTCAATCTTTCACCTGTTCTGATTTCTGTCTTTGTCCCAGTCTCTCCTCCAGCAGGGTCTTGATCACAGATGGTAGAAGCAGATATCTAGCAACAGGGGTCAGCATTCTCCCTTTCTTCTTGGGTCTCAGCTTCAGGCTGCGCTCTGATCGATCAGCTCAGGTCTCCATATAATAGCCTGCTTTTTTCCCCATGCCAGGGACTTTGAAGGCATGGACTAGCCATAGCTGGCTGTGTTGTTTCAATGTTGCTTTAGCATGATCTTACTTTAAAAGTCAATCGATCATACCAAACATAAAGAACTTCAAAAGCTTTCAGTAGATTCTTCAGGTAAAGAAAAATGGGATTTGATGAAGCAGTTTATTATAACAGCTGATTTTTCTGTACAACACAAGCTAACACTTCAAAATTATACCTAACCTATATCTGACTTTAGGAAGGAAGCAGACTTTCTTTTCACTTGGGTTGTTTGGGTCGAATAGTAGTTTTCTTTACTTAAACCCAGGCTAATAAGTAATAAAAGCCAGTTGGATCTTAAAAAGTTTGCTTTGGAAAATCTAAGACATGGAGAGTCCTAGTCTTTTTTGTAAGTTAACCAAAACCTGAAAAACAAAACCCCAAATAACCACAACAGTTTTGTTTCCAATTCAACTTGGAATTCCAAGAGGATACATGAATCATACTACATACTGCATGTGTGGAATTCACATACCTTCAGAATCTACCTGCTCTACTAGACATTAAGGGAGAAGGAAAGGACTACAAATTTCACTTCCCAAGTCACACCATCCCTTGCATCATCAGCACATCAGATCCATTCATTTTACATCACTAGGGTCATGAAACACTGAAAAGGCGGCAGCAGAATTTATAACCATATGTTCTAAAGAGTCTTGGCTGTGAAAACAGGTAATTTCAAACAGGCCAGGTACTGGTGGCTCATACCTATAATCCTAGCTACTCAGGAGGGTGAGATCTGAGGATGAAATAGCATGATTGGGTCTGGCCAGAGCTATCTTGGCCACATAGTGGATGGTAGGGTCTGGCATTTTGTCTTCAATGGGAGAAGGAAATGCCCCTGCCTCCCAGGTGATGGGCATGCCTGAATCCCTGGAGGCAGGGACAGGCACTTGGCTGATGGGTTACTAAACCTGTATGTCAGTCCAGTGTCTGGGACTGGGAGTTTCCTGTGACCCTGCCCCCTGACATGACCCTATTGAGGCCAGCTCAGGAACCATTATGCCATGCCCTGTCTCCATGTTTCTGTCTTGTCTCCTGGCTCTTCTCCAGTCACCATGGCTCTCCACTGGAGTGGAATTGGTTTGTTGGTATTGTTTTTGTTCTTTCTTCCCTCTCTGGCCTTCACGGCTGTTTCCTAACAGTGTTAAGTGTATTGGTTGGCTGCTGGTCTAAGACAGGAGTCCACCATGTACTCACTGGCCTTTTAATAAAGACTTCAAAATGTGGCTTCTCGGTTTTCTCACCTTACAACAAGGATTGTGGTTTGAAGCCAGCCCAGGCAGGAAAGTCCATGAGCCTCTTATCTCCAATAAACTACTCAGAAAAAGCCAGAAATGATGCTGTGGCTCAAGTGGTAGAGCACCCAGGCTGAGGTCAAGCCTCAATAGTGGCAAATAAATAAATAAATAATCAAACCACATATATCCTGATATAAAATTGAAATTTATTTTATTTTCCATGAAAATGACGCATCTATGCCAATAAATTAAAAAAATATATTCCCTTTAAGTCTTGGTTTTCATCTTCAACAGTGACCTTTTCCCCCCATTTTTACCACACGAAAGCCGCTCGCTCTCGTAACATGCGGACACCAAAGCGCTGCCATTCTCGCTGATAAATCCAAAGTTCTTGTGTGGTATCTAAACAGGCCAACACTGCCCCTCCTTTCCAAGCAATCAGCCGGGGATCCATGTCCTACACAGAAGATAAAGTGATTTCAGACATATTTTATCATTTACTTTAGTTGGAGATGAAGATAGATTCCTGTTAGGGTAGGTTTCCATCTGCATAGACCACAGGACCTTGGGTGTATGTCATGCCTAGCATGATCAAGGCCCTGGGTTCAATCTCTAGTACCACTACTGACAAGATAGCAAGACTCACAAACAACAGATAATTTTGTTTC